ACACAGGATCGGTTTACCAAACTTTCACCAGCTATAGGAAGCACCAGTCAGCTGGACTGGGGTAATCACATTCATAATGGTATATGGCTGACCAAAAATCATAGTCTATGTTCAATTCCTATATAATAAAGGGCTCAGGCACTCTTGGCTGCCTGTCCGTAATGCTCTTGGAGCACTCTAGTTGTTTCACTAACCAGTCAATCAGAGTGCGGAGTGCTGCCATGACGGTGGGGACAGAGGGAACAGAGCGGGGGGAAAGCCAGCTCTGCTGCCTCCAAGGAGCAGAACTGGGGGTGGGGGGGAACGGACGGACTTAAAAATCACTAGCGTTCAGTAACTGTATATCAAGCTTCCTTTTCCCCTCGCTGGAATAGAAGCACAACAGGTATCAATGGTTTTGTGGCACGTATCAGTTGTTTAAACCAGTGGTGTTTGGACTTTTCAGCTCCATGTGCCAGGGTCAGGCCCTGGGGTTGAGCACTGGGGGCCCCCTTCATGCTGCTCATGCCAGGACTGGGCCCGGGAGGGCCTGGTGCTACCCCCTCTCAGCTCTGGATTGGGCCCTGGGGTCCCAGCACTGCCCTCTTCTGCCCCTGCATGCCAGAATTGGGCGCCATGGGCCCCCAGACACCCACAGAGGGATTGGTACATGCAGGCCCAGCACCGCTACCATCCAGCCCTGCGCACTGGGACTGGCCAGTATTCAAAGCCTGGAGCTCTCCATGGGCCTGGAAAGTTGGCAGCACTGCTCCCTCACTACCAAATGTCTAGACCCGTGCAGAGCCCCACAAGCCAGAGGACATGGTCCTGTGGGCCAGGGGTTAAGCACCTATGGTCTAAGATGATTTCTATACAGACATAAAAGTTCTACACATGAAAGGTTCCAATTTCAGCAAGTGAAAACATAGTAAAAATGTCTTCCTTTTATAAACCACAACTGAATGTATTCTGTTGTTCAGTATTACTATAATATGCAATGTTTAGAGAACTGTTGGCACTGTGTGGCAAATCAAGTACAAGTGAAATAAAAAATTAGAATAACTTTACATTTAAAAACTAAAAAGGTATTACAGCAAGTGATACTTTAATAGTTTAGAAAACCAAAAGGATTTAAAAATTAGCCTGTAGAAAAACCCACAGAAACAAGCCAGCCTACTCAATTTTCTATGCTAGCATGTACAACATCAACTCTTGGTTTTCGCTCATCTCACAACTTGTTAGATTGTAGAAGGAATATATTTATAATAAGGAAAAACAGCCTCTTTATTAGTTTTAAGGAAGCATGAGTGCCATCTGGCCTATCTGTAGTTGTTTTTGGGTTTATTTACTTTATAACAGAATATACATACATCCTCGATTTAGAGAAAAAAAAATCTAAATTCCTCTGAAAGCAAGTTCATAAAGGACTTCTCTTGCATCTCTGGGGCACGTAAATAGGCAGCAGTAGAAGAGGCTACACGTACACATCCAAAACTGTAGGAAGTACTTCTACAAAATCAGGCCTGTTCCATGTACACATCTCAGTATTATTCAAGAACTTAACCTTCAGGTTTGAATGCATGCTTAAGACTAATGCAAACTTGAAGGAGCAGGCACAGCCTTAGCATTATCGTTTCTTTACAGCCAGGCACCATGCAAGCAGGTAACATGAAACCGTCCCTGCTGCAAGAGCCTCATTCCCTTCACTTACACAAACCACAGGCCTAGATTTACGTGGAACATGTCCTAATCCTTCAAAAGAGAGCCACTTGCCCTATTCCATGTGTATTTAAAAAGATGTGGTATTTTCCTTGAATTGGACAGCATAGAGCAGTGGGGATCAACCTTTTTTGGCAGGTGCTCCACAAATTAGCCCTGCACCCTCCAAGTTCCACTCTGATCCGTTTTCTTTACCCAGACTGCTGCTCAGCTTTCTGCTCCCTGCCCAAGCTGCTGCTCTGATTCCTTTCCTGTGCACCCTGTCTGATCTGATGTTCTGCCTTCTGCTCCATGCCCTGTCACTGTGCTGCCCGACCTCTCCTTAGTCAGCTGTGTGCCACACACAGAAGCTGCCCATGCCACTTGTGGCACCCATGACATAGGTTAGCCACCCCATAGGTTAGTCTACTGCAACCCCAACAACCACTTACTGCACAGACTGCTGAAGTGCCTCCACTCTAAAAAGAGTCCTTCACCATGTCAAGGGGTGGCAAAGACCTGCTACGTCAAAACTGAACTACCAAACCTACTAACAAGTTTGTTTACTTGCACACAACCCTGAACATAGGACAAGTTGCCAGGGATTCTCCCCTCACCAAAGACAGATAAAAAAACAAAACAAAAACTCTACTCTCTCTTTGTTCAAGTATCTGTTAATGAAAAACCCTGGGAAACACTTTCCCCTCACTTATGTTTCTCTGCCCACCCCATTCAAAAAGAACCCTGACCATCTCCAAACAGGCCCAGTCCTAAAGACCCCCCAGGCACTTAAGTCAGAAGCTGAGTGACTATATCTCTGCACATAAAGAACTTGCAGAGGAAAGCCAAGCCAAAGACATGAATTGTGCATTGAGTTCTGAGAACAGTGATAATTGTAGTCATTTTTCTTTCCTTAGGAAGAGCTCATAGACTAGGTCTACCTCCCAAACAAATTATGTTAGTCAGCCCAAAATCTCTCTGATCATGCTTTTGCCCATCCCATTGAAGAACATGCCATGCCCCGATTCCAGAGGTCCCCTTTTCTGCACTTTAAATACAAGGCAAAGGGTCCATACATGTCTTCAGTGCTGGGCTGTCAGGGATTTGTATTTTATGGCTTGTCTTACACAGGTCAGAGTTTCTCAAGCTGGGTACATGTGCCCCTTGATATCTGCACTGAACTTCAAGAGGGTACACTAGAGGAAGGAAAAGAAAAGCAGACAGAGGGAAAGGAGAAATATAAACATAAAGGAGCAAATAAAAAAAAAAGAATAATATTATGGTATCTTGTAGGTTGTTGGAGAAGTTACAGTGCAGTTGCAATGACAGTACAGTAAGGAATTTCTTTATTTTTTTTTATTAACCATGACACAGAGTCATGGGCTATGGCAGCATAACAAACTTAGAGGAATATGAAACTCAGCAATGGAGAATCATTGATCTGGATGGCAAAATGGCCTTTCAAATCTGTGATGCTACCAATCTCCAAGCCTGGTGAAGTTCTCAGAAGGTCCTTTGCTTCTTCACCTAAAGCACAGGATGAACTGTTAGGGTTTCTCTGAACACAAACCAAAGCCTTTAGCCTCTAAGCCCCAGTGAACCACAAGATAAAAAGTGTCAGGCAAGCTCCTATATCCATCCATAAAAAAACAAACAAACAGGTCTGCTGAGGAACCATACTATCCTACACACACGCTTGGCTTTTAGGGATTTCCCCTCTACTACCCCACAACAAACTGCCACATTCAACAAAGGCTTGAATATCAAGCAGTCACTGAAGTCACTGAGGCACAGGCTGGGCTGAACATCTCGCCACTGCGCACACTCCCACAAATGCAAATGAAATGGTCAAGAACCACCAACTCTTCACACAGGCACCTATGCACCTTGCTTCCAGAAGTTCCCCATTATCATGCCTCACAAATAGGTATGTCAAAGACTCCTGCCCCTCTGCCACAGCCTCAGACTATAGACCTGACCCTCAACAGTCCTCTGATCACCCAGAGGCCTCCAAGTCAAGGATGTCCTAATCCTGACATCTTTAGTATAACAGCAATGTTTCCCAAGCTCTGGTCAAAGCCCCTGGAAAAACTGGATAAATTAAAGGAGGAGAAAAGACCAATTGGGGTTTTGCCCATTGGGAGACCAGCACGTTGTAGTGTGTGTTCCTGTGGCCAGGTACACTTGCTTGAAAGCTGCCTGCCTTCCCCCTCTGCTACCGAGAGGCTTGCACTCAGGATGGAGGCAACAGGCAGTCCCCCAATACCTCCCTTTGGTCTCATAACACTCAAGTTAAAAGTGAACATCTGACCTGCATCCACCTGATGGTAACCCTCCCCCCAAGCAGCGTGTCACTCTGCCAAGCGGAGAACAAGGTGAAACTGAACTGAGCGTATTATAAACATTTTGGGTCTCGGCAAGAAGGCAAAGAAATACAGCATCCCGACAGGGGGAAAAAGAAGTTAAAAACAATTGGGTCTGACTGCGTGACACGTATCCCATCAGGCGCAAACAGAAGCCAGGGGCTATCAGCGCTACCTTACCACCACGAACTCCGACAGGCAGGGGGATGCCACCAGCCTGCGTGCAACCCGCTGGGCAGAAACCTGGCGGCTTCCACCGCTTTCCTGCTTCCTGATCCACCAGCCCCATTGTCAGATCCCACCTCCCTCTGTTTGCCAGGGATCATGGGCTCCGCAGCGGGCTGTCAGGGATTTCCCAAATGCCTGCAAGGCAAAGGCCCAGCTGTCAAGGATCCCCCCTCGCAGGGACGCCCCCGGCCCAATCCCCAGGCTCGGGCCTGGCTGCGGGGATGTGCCCCGGGGGCCCGCAGGGTGGCAGACCCGGCCGCTCCCGCCAGGCGCCGGCCTCCCCGGCCCGGCCCAGCTGTC